GCAAACCATACGGACAAAGTGTTGCGTTGAAAATTCATTTGAGTTCGGATATTCTATTAGTCAAGACGATGTACTCACGATTATCACAGAAAGATTCTTATCGCTTATTACACACCAGGGTGATCAGCTATTCATACTAGGACTGGAACTGGATAGGAATCCAGTGAACCTAGTAAGTAAACCAACACCACTCGCTTTAAGAACCTCTGGATTTTTACTGTCAAACTGCGTTCCTTCCATTTGTTTCAGATAAGAGGCATCTTTCACAACCTGGTCTCCAGTTGAAGAACCTAGAACTACATCGCATTCGCAGGGTGATTTGATGATGTTGAGGCGTGACTCTAGGTATGTTAAATCGCTCCTCTAAAATGCTGTCTCCAGCGTTGCAGGTGTTTGTTCTACGAAGCAATTGAATTCTATTACTTTTTGGATACCTTTTAACTTACCACAGGTCTATAAGTTTAGATAGTGTTATTAGAAGACGGAGATTATCTGAAAAATGTGATGTATTTGCGCTATACATTTCGAACAATCTGATCACACATTCACTTGTCAAGTCAATATATATGGAAAAGCTGAATTAAACAAAGTCTCACATGCGAGGAAGAAAGTCGCAACCAGCTAGCACTTTTAGACATACTTCTGAGTCGAAGAGATGATGGCTCAATAAGATGGTGTATCTACAGAAAGCCCACTTGGACAGGGCAATACCTTAATTTTCAGTTTCTGTCCATTACAGTATAAGAGAGGGTTGGTGAAGTGTCTATTTAAGAGGATTCAGCGTATTTGCACGGCTGATGTTATAGACAAAAAAAACGAAATATTGATGGACACTCTTGTTGAAAACGGATATCCTTTAAAATTTTTAAACAGGTGTAGAAGTTAATTAGTCTCTAAACCTACAATTTATACCGCCCCTAAGAAAAATGTTTTCATCAAATTACCATATAACGGGGAAATAAACAGTAGGATTTTGAGACAAAAGTTGAATTCGATCATCCGTAGAACCTACTATGCAGCCCAGCTTATAATTGCGGAAAAAGCTAAAAATATGCTCCACTGCAAACCTCAAAAGTGCACAAGTGATTATGTCACATCCCACACTATTTGCCAATCTTCGTGTGTGTCTGTGTGGACACATACATAGGGAGGAGTAATCGCGCTTTGCATGTGAGGGTGGGAGAGCATATCCCAAAATGGTTAGAAAAACAAATGAATTGTAAAAAGCCAATAGATGCAGGTGTCAGACTGCCAACTTCGTCTATAGCTAAACGTCTAATCGAGATGAACCATAAGATTGATGTTAACTCAGCCTTTAAGGTCATCTATAAAAACGGTCGCGGGCGCTTATTGAAATACGCTGAGGCTATAGCTATTCATAAACTTAAGCCCCTCTGTGTATTCAAAAACAGTTTGTTATTACTCTTAACCTACCTTGGTAATCCTTATTTGATTGGATTACTAAACGTTGTGTTAATTATTCTTAATTCTTTTTTGTCACTTTGTTTAATTCAGCTTTTCCATATATATTGACTTGACAAGTGAATGTGTGATCAGATTGTTCGAAATGTATAGCGCAAATACATCACATTTTTCAGATAATCTCCGTCTTCTTATAACGCTATCTTAATTTATAAAAGGGGCTAACTGTTTTAAACAGATCTATAAACTGTTCCCCTAATAAGCTTGAGTAAGTGACGAGTATGCGCGTTGGTAGTTCAGTGGTACAATGCTTACCAGACACCCACATGGTCCATGTTTTACTCCCAGCCGCACACAACAACCTCATCCAGTCAACTGGGAAGAGGAAGTTTGGATGTGAGGCTCTACCCAGTAAAAGCCACTCACCGCTACTGAAGCTTTATGTTGCTATCGGAATGCAATGTTTGCGTCGGTGGCACAGTGGTTAGGACTCTCGCCGACCATGCATATGGTCCGAGGTTGAATCCCCTGCTGATTCACACCTTATAATTGTGGTCGGCCTGTAAAATTTGGGCTACCGATATCACATGCAGAAAATTCCATATTTTGTGCCTAATATATGGTGTGGAATCAAGCTGTAATCAGAAATCAATTCAAAATATTACAGATTCTGGAGAAAACTAGCCAACGTGTGCTACCTCACATTGATGCCTTTCCTATCGTCTGCTGTTCTTGTTGGCTGTAAAAACTTTTAGTCACCTCACGTTCGAGCTTTTCCTCACCTCTATCTTAGGAGTCCTCCCGTATTACTCTCGTGTCTATCAGTTCGGAGGAAACTAAAGAATTCTACTACCATTCATCCTTATCCTGCATGTTATCAAAAGCGTTTACCACTATACTTTTACAGCTGACTAGATATAGATTTCTCCATATACCTATTTAAGCAAGTCTTTCTGTAAATTAATAAGGTACATGCAACAGCAGAACACAGCCCTATTTGGTAAAGTGTAGAAGCCTACAATTTGCAAACGTTATTAATATTTTGCTTCTTTTGTATTGCTTCACAACGATCTTCACTTCTCCTTTTCGCATCTTAATTCATCACTCCTGCTTAAGATCATTGCAGACGTAGTGTACACCATAGATCGATCAATCAGACTGTAAGTTACTCAGTCACAGGCTTCAGGGTTGTTTTTCGGACATACTGAACTACTGTTTTCTCATAAAACAATCATAGCGTAAGTAAAATAAGCGTGAGACAATTCTGGCAACGGTTTAATTGTCTGTGTCTTATCACGTCTTTTGACGTTCTTAATGCATTTTCGCTTGGTGTGTCTCAACATGACATGTAGCTCTATAGATGCCTGCCCAGTATTCCACTAAACACTGCGTGGGATCTGTCGCAATCCCCTATCATCGTTGCCACATTAAGGGGAAATGTCTTGTTTGGTTAGCTGGTGCGGTTGACGATAAGCTACACGCACGCAACTGAAGTGTTCCATATGGTGTTTAAGTCGTATCAAGAGGGGAGGGGTTGCAGTAGTTAAGATAAGATAAAAATATTCGTAACTTGAAGTATTTCCGTACAGATTATTTACGATTTGTAGGAATTAACACAAACGTAATTTGATCCTTCAACTCTTGTTACATGAAACTTTCTCACTTTTATTAAAAGTACTAATTATGTAGTAAATTTGCATTTCACAAAGTACATTAATAGCTGCAATGTTACCGCTATTTTAAATTATGATCATGATTTGTAATGCTGCATAAAATTGTTATGTCTTTTGCTATGTGCAGGTCTATGGGGTTCACACGTATTTGCTGACTTTTGTCGCTTCGAAGAGAATCCACGTCTGTCTCAGTTAACGGTTGTTTGCCTTCCTAATATGCAACACCGTTGTAACCTGGACTCAGATGAAGATTCAGGTCCTGAGATTCTTCATACACGTCTCTACTCATGGTTGCCAGTTGAAAAATTGCAACCGCCTATTACGGAAGCCTTAGCAGTTGCTCAAACGTTTCATAAAGAATTTTCCTATTGGCTATGAGGCCGTGTGCGTAGTGGACTTATCACCAGATAAATGAATTACTCAAGTGTTAAATCCGATGATTTCTATAAAACAACAAAAACTCCACGCATTTCAGAATAATTTATTCGTGAATGTGTATTTATTTTATTAATAAATGATACTTCATCAGGGTCTATCCAGAAAGGATGAAGTCTCTAGACCGTAAGGATCCATAGGGAGTACTCAATAATACGAGAGTTATATATTTACATGGGAAGTTTTGAAGGTCGGAACACAACAGTGAGAAAATGTTGTAGAAATAGACTTTACAGAAGTAGTTTATAAATTTAATCAGGTAAATCTCAGTAATTCGGATGATTGACTGAGTTTCAACACAGGACTTTACACGGAAGTGCAACAGTTCAAGTCGCTACACTCTGTGTAGCACACAAACGTAGAAAAAAGAAATTCAGAAGAACTACACTACACAGAAATGTGTCGGATAAGGAATAGACCACCAACACGGTGGTTTAATGAATACGGGAGGTTACAGAAGGTGATCGCATCCGCGTAATTGATAAAGGCTTTGAGCGACACTGTCTAACCAACCTCAACTAGGCAGCCCACACCTCACCTGTCAAAATTTTCGTATATTGATGTCAAGTTCAGGCTTGACTCTTACTCTTTTCCAACCTGGTCTTATATCAGTTGACATTTCCCCACATGGGAAGTGGTTGCAGCACGTGTCCTAGCTATATCAGCCGTTACAACCTCATCGATCTCCTAACCTCAATCCTGCTCATCGTAGTAACATGAAAGATCAGACGCAAACACCTCTTCCAATGGCCATATCTCAGAGCCATGGAGTAATTGGAGAGGTAAAAGAACAATTCCACTGAGTGTTCAAGAAGTTTCAGGAACCACACAAATGCGTAGTAGATGTTTTTCATGTCACTGACAACCACTTTTCATTAATTAATTTATATATGAAGTAAAAAATAACTTGAGGATGGTTAGAAAAACAGCAGTCAGGGTAAAGTGTTTCCTGGAGAGAATCGTAACCTTTTACGTGATCACTTCTAGAACAAACACATGCCTTTCGTGGATAATGCTTTGACGTCCGAAACGATAGGGATACAGACTTCAAGTCTCAGTGGAAACACTACTACTCAATGGGGACACCGATGAACCCTAAATAAGACGAAACATCCATCTTGGATTCCACCACTGGTTAACTAATGCACGCAGCTGAAAGGGTAACCAACCCTATTAATCATCTATATATTTAGAGAATGTTATTTAAACCTTTACAGATATGCATATATCACGAGTGAGAGTTGATAAGGGGACTCAAAACAAATGTTTAATTTTTCTTGCTACACAGAATAGGTTTCTAGTTATTCATCCCGGTAGCCTAGGTTGTTACCATGATCATCTGATGATAATTAAAAAAGTCATTTAATTGGGATGGAAAAAAACACTTATTATTGCTTTAAGGTTTAAAAGAAGAAATTGTCTGTAAAAAGTATACAAAAATAAATGTGAATAAAATTCCCGCGAAACTTGTTAGAAATCATCCGAATGAGAGAAGTCATTGATTTCCATCATCCATTCATCCAAACACCACGACATCGGAGGGATAAAGTCGCATGACCCATATTGATCCGAATTCGGAAGCTTTTTGACTGTCACGAGGTTGACAGAACCATTTGGAGCTATATGTATAGTAGCTTTTGCTGTACCTCCATGATCCGTTAAAAGGTGTAAACAACGTGAACGTGGATTCCAGTTCAGAGCGTAAAGTGAGCCCAGTCGGCGTATATCTTCAGTCAACGTCATATCTACACATGATTGAAGTTGAAAGCAGGCTACAATGGCACCAGGGAACAAGGCTGACGCAAAACTTTGACATAGATTCACAAGACTTTCATGATAGCCTGTAACCTTAAGGTGAAACAAAACAGCTTAAGTATGTTGAAAAACTAGTCGATATAAATTAATATAAAAGAAATTGAGTTCTAGTTCGTTGTTGATTCGCAGTTCACAGCTAAGTGTCATGTTCAGATTACAATGTGAATGAACTCATGTGTCAACAGTTTGTGATTATTACAACCCGTGTGTAGAACTGTACAGGTATTAGTAATAGCAGTGACAGCTTTATTCCAAACAGTTACATAGGAGATGATGTATCATTGAAAAGCATCTGATTCCAACAGCTCTTAAGCCAAACTTAGTGTCAACCAATTCATTACCAAGAGACCCATTGATCAAATCACAGTCACAAATAAAAAATACTCCCTTCATCAGACTTTTCTCACCTCACCTCACCGATGAGCTGAGCTATCGTCCCATTACAACTACGCTTTTCACTGCCAGATTCTCGGTCGGATGGACGCTTTAAGTAAAATGGAAAGAAACCAATGGTAGTAATGCGGATGCATCTTTGTTCAGATCTTATTCATTCGAAATATCCAATACACTGATTTACTTTGTTAATTATCTTACTTTGACCTGATAGCTCTGTGATATATGTCTGCTAACTCTCAAAGCGGGGACTCAATGCACGTATGTGTTTAGTTTACTTTTAACGAGAATTTTGTGGTGACGTGACCATGATGCGTTTAACAGGAATGTAGTGAAAGGGAGTAGCGACAGACATCTAGTGATTTTCATGCATAATTGGATCGACATAACTTCTACGAACCTGTAACAACTGGGGACATGTTGTCCGGGAATCCCATTTGGCAAACCACAGTGAGTAACAGTGCATTTGATAGGCACACGGTGAATCTAGCGAACTTACATGGTAGATGAGAGGATGTAATCGTACATGTTGGATAGCGTGGTTATTTAGCATTTCTTAATCATGAAATAACTTCAGCGAATGTCTAAACATAGAGCACACTGGACATGATCTATCTTAACCGTAATCTTTGAATAGTGTTCAGAACCTAATACAATAATACGTTCTATTTATTTAGGTCAAAATACGACACAGGTTAACGGCAAACATTTTTCAGTTTCACTCAGTTCACGCGTAGACATGACTTATCTAATTCCATATTAGATAAGTTCATTTCGAATAGCATATCAATTGATAGGATTATGAGCAATAATTTGTGCTCCAAACACCATCCAGTTGTTAGTACAGCATCACTATGATATTTGATGTGGAATTAAATTCTACCACAGTGTACAAGTTCTGCACTTCTATTAGTGGCTTATCTAATACTATCACTAAGGAGAGGATTCCTCATACAACATATACAGTTAACGTCGGAAGTTACATATGGATATAAGACCTACGGGCGATCGGTCTTGCATCCTACTCACAAGAGATGCATCGATTGTTACAGAACCCTGTACATTGAGTTAGGAAGCTATTTTATGTCATTAAGTAGTCATCCATTTATTATTTTGCGTGGTCATTCTCTCATCCATCGCTTTTCAATCCATAAATTATACGATTTATTTATTAGATCAAAACCGATGAGGCATACGTGATCTGATAGAATCAGCACAATTCATTGCATGGTGTATGCCCGAACTGCAGCGGAATATTAATCAGAGGTCCTCTGCCTTATACGAATTGACTACGGACGAATGTCAAAGATTCACCGAATATATCAACTTGGTTGCAAATAAAGCAGATGAAACCTCAAGGCAAATTTCCTGACGAACCCACAAAATTTGTATTCAATTATTCCTCAGTACGTTTAACCGACGTGCAACTGGAAGTCCTATCTCTGGGCCCAAAATTCTGCGATATAAATTTCAACGCCGACAAACTTCATACTCAGGTCCAGTTTGAAAATCTAATCAGCCAAACGAACGATCTCAGCCCAACTTCTGAAGTCGAATTACAGAGATTCAAGTCTACAATCATGGACTGCTGCCACCAATACTTGAATACAAAATCAAAAGTCCGCAACCACCTAACGAAGCAGCACCGAGAAGAATTAAAACAGTTGAGAGATAACAAAGATCTGCTTATAACTCGGCCCGACAAGGGTGCTGGTGTAGTGATTCTGAATCGAAGAGATTACATCGAGAAAATGAACGATATACTGTCGAATGAAGATAAATTTCCCCAACATTCCAATGAAAGAAACAAAACGGAACAGATTGAGAAGCAGCTCACAGACGTCTTGAAGAGAATGAAGGGCAGTCAACTAATCAGTAAGGATATCTACGACCAGATCCAGCCAACAGGTTCAATAATACCAAGACTTTATGGTCTACCAAAGGTACACATGGTTGGTCTCCCACTTCGTCCAATTCTGGATATGTCAGGTTCACCTCACCACTCTATTGCAAAATGGCTAGCAGATATTCTGGAACCTGTAAGGAAGCAATTATGTACGCACTTGCTCCGTGACACCTTCCAGTTCATCGAGTGCATACAAGACATGAATGTATTTAACAAAATTATGCTGTCCTTCGACATTGAGTCACTTTTCACCAATGTCCCACTCACAGAAACGGTCTACTTCATATGCAGATATATAGATGACAACCACCTCGATATTGGAATACCGACGACATACTTGAAAGAATTATTATTGAAATGCACTCTGAACGTCCAGTTCACATTCGACGACACCATCTACAGACAAAAGGATGGTATTGCAATGGGATCTCCGTTGGGTCCACTACTATCAGATTGCTTCGTGGCAAGCCTCGAGAGAGGTTCACTAAAGCCGAGCATTGACAATTTGCGACTGTATAGAGGATACGTGGACGATATTTTCATTATTTGCAACAACAACAATGACCCCAATCTACTGCTGAAGACATTTAACTGTTGCCATCCAGCAATAAAATTCACTCTTGAAATGGAAAACGAGTCAAAAATTCCGTTTCTTGATGTGGAAACTAACAAGAAGAGCTGATGGGAGCTTAAGAAGATCAATCCATAGAAAACGCACGTGGAATGGTCAACTAACAAGCTTTTATGGCTGGGTACTCATTCAACAAAAGCGAAATTTAATTAAACCACTCGCCACCCGCATCCGGCACACCTGTAGTCCCGACGTTCTGGAAACACAATTAGATATTCTAAGAGAAATCTTCATCCAAAATGGATTCACATAGAAAAACCGGAGCTGTGCATACAAATCAGATTACTCAACCACTTCTACTCTCATGGTAACAATGATTGATTTGTTTTGAGTTTTTAATTTTTATTTTGATGACTTAATTTTGTTTCTTTCTCTGTTCTTTAATTGCTTATAATTCTCGCATTCACTTAGATCTCTTATATAATTTCGTATTATCTACTTTGTTTCTACTTGCCACCCGCATCCGACACATCTGTAGTCCCGACGTTCTGGAAACACAATTAGATATTCTAAGAGAAATCTTCATCCAAAATGGATACCCAATAAGATTCATCGACAAAAATATGAAACCGAGAATTCAGAGAAACGAAACTTCACTTGCGCCTAAAAATAAAGTCTACATGAACTTAGATTTCAAGGGAGATCTAACAAGCGATATTCTCAAGAGAAGGAACACATCATTTCTGAGAAGAACACTCTTTGCAGAAACGCGAAGAATAGTGTTCTCCAGTCGCCCACTGATCTGCAGAAGCCTCAAGGACAAGATCCCGCATCTGGCCACTTCTATGTGCATATGTCAGTTACCTGCTGCTGTGGAGCCAGCCAGGTACATCGGTCGTTCGACGCGCATCCTGTCCAAGAGGATTCAAGAACACTATCCAGCCAGCATGGTTGCGGAAAGGCAATAGTGGTGCAATAAGGAGTGCGGTAATTGAACACTTGGTTAACACTGATCATTGCATTTCAACAAACACCACCTGCTTCAGCGTAATCTACAGAGTCAAGAATAACCTATCAAAGACAATACGGTTTTGTCTTATTTGTATCGCTGAAGCTCTGGCTATTCACATAGAAAAACCGGAGCTGTGCATACAAATCAGATTACTCAACCACTTCTACTCTCATGGTAACAATGATTGATTTGTTTTGAGTTTTTAATTTTTATTTTGATGACTTAATTTCGTTTCTTTCTCTGTTCTTTAATTGCTTATAATTCTCGCATTCACTTAGATCTCTTATATAATTTCGTATTATCTACTTTGTTTCTACTTGCATCCTGAGTAAAACTCACTCATCAAACTATTCATATTATTATTACATAACTTCTTTTAACAACTGTTTTTGACAACTCATCACCTTTGTTACTACTCTAGTTTCATTAACACTTAAATTTTCTTGACTTGTATTACCAACCTTCACCTGTTTAGTTAAAATAACCTTAACTAATTGTAATTTTGTTTGACAAACTTAATGTACACATACATACAAAACAACACGTATATATTTGCGATTGTACAGCTAAGAAAATGAATTCACCGACGTGAGGTATAGTTAAACTCCTAAAATAACTTCCTCAATGGGTGGCTTTGTTCTATGAGTAATTTCAGGATCAGTAGTTAGTTCCCTTTTAACCGCTTCTAAGGCCATATCGATTGGTATATTTGTATACAGACAGATTAGTTATATCAAAACTAAGCCTTTCTCATCATTCTCCAATTGAATGTCATTTAGTTTCCTTTTCATTTCATATGAATTAGTTAGCCTAGAGTTTGAACAATTTCTAATGGGACATACTATTAGAGCTAAGTGTTTTGATAATTCCTAAATAGGGGGTATTTCTGAAATCTATCAATGACTTTGAGTTGCATTTTAACAATGAGTGTTTTGTAGGTTGTGAGTGAAGTAGTGGCTTCTCCGTCGTCCTTCTTAATATTTTTGAAAAAGTAATTTGACCTCCGATCCCTAGAGTATTAGAACAACAACAACAACAACAACAGAGTTCTTTATGTAAATCGGTATCATAATTCTAAGACCATTCGTGTTGTCATAGGCTTTTAACCTGAGAAAAGGGATCCACGTAGAATATATAACTGGACCATTCAAATTTGTTATTCACAAAATAATTGCATAAAATCACATCAGAAACAATCTTCTTTTTAATGATAACTGGCTATTTTCTGTGCAGTGTACGTCATCATTTTTTAAAGAAGACAAGTGAATATTCTCCTAGAATATCAGTAGATTTTAAGTTGCAGTCAACTGGATGATATTTGGATGTAGATAATCCAAGTTATAAGGTGCACTTTATCCTTAATCACCGTGGTAGTAAAACTTGGACTTGAAATACACACATAAAATGAAACATTCCCTCAAAACCTTGTTGGAACAACACATAAGTCTTCTTAAATATGATGAGTGAACAGTTTAACATATCTAGGTGAAAAAGTAAACATACTTTGATGTCACGCATTATTATACTGTCAAATATTCCTTTCTCTGGAAGTCCTCGAAAAAGAGGCGTTGAATTTTCATCCTCTACAGGTGAAACTACCTGTAAATTAAACTGCAGTGTGATATACGGTGAGCACTGATTTAATATTCCCAAATCTTCAGTGTACTCCATTTGAAGATGCCTGTTAAGATAAGCAATAGAGTAGTATATAAAGTGTTTTAAATATTGCATGACGATAATACCAACAACGAAACGCTACTCATTTTTATCTCAGCACGTGAGAAGGCATTGGGAATTTCTTACGGACACTGGCTATTGTCGCCAGGTACCAACTCTCCATACGCTCTTAAACGGCTGCATAGGTTAGCGTAGAGTGTCTTGATTAGTGAAGTAAGCTTTCTCGATACCCACTTCATGGTCAGACATCGCTATGACTAACAGAGTCAAATCCCACGCCTTCATACCAAGAAATGTAGTAGATGTCAGACAGCTGTATGTCTGTATTACAGAATTTGTTGAAGAGTAAAGATATAATCATTATATTGTTGTCCTGGCTTATAACCTGTCCGGTTTTCACAGGTTTGTGTCTCCCCGTGGTCACCTATTCTACAGCGGATTATGGAAGATCACATTAATCAAGCTAATCCCTTTATGATTATCACAGGGAAATTTGTCTCCCTCACAAACTGGAACAATAAATTATTTTTTTAGCAGTACAGCTGGGACACCTCTGATTCCTATACACTACCTAATGTCTCAATCAATTTATCACCATCATAAAAAACACTTCCGAAATTATACTATCAAGTTGTACGGCAGCCTAACATATGAAATTTCTTTTACTAATGAATATGTTCTTACTTGTTTTGTTTTTCATCGAGACTAACGTGCCCTGATACGAGTAGTGACTCGAGTGTATCTATTTGCTCAACAAGCTCCTCCTGTAGAAATGCTTCTTCTTCAGCAGCAGCAGAAATAGAAGCATGCTCACATTCTTTTTGGGTTAACATTAGTTCCATCTGTTCTATAACCTGTCCACAAAAAGATATCAGACTTGTTGATAAAAGTGACGGTGTATAGATATTTTTAAAATATGTGTCAAAATTAGTTCAAATAGTCTGCTGCTTCACTTACTTACATGTTGTATGTGATCTGAATTAAAGTTCCTAGAAAGTGATAAATATTTAAAATCCATGTCACTCTAGTCCTTTGCATAATTCAATGATCTCGATGAGAGAATACATTTCAAGTATGATCAGAATTAAAATGTTTCTAAGCAACAGAGAGTAATGTTATTCAGTGTTAAAGGAGGATTGTAATCTGAGATAACTAATATGTTAACAACAAATTTATTTTACTTATTATGTTTTTGTATTATGTGAAAATTCCTGTAGACATTTATGCTGTTCTCCATCGATTGAGAGGTGATGTGGTGACCTATGATTGTTAATAGGATGCGAAGAAATATTCTAGTAACACGGCATCCTACTCGAATTAATGCAGCCTCAGACAACTGTCGTTTGAATAGGTGTGTGTTTGAGATCACTGGTCTTCATTCCTCTTTCATTCCATTATAGAAATACTAATGGACATAACTCCTATCAACTTAGATTTTCCAGGAAATTCTGATTGATCTACCGTATGAAGATAATATCGCCTTTTAGGCGAACACGACAATACAATGTTTTATACACCTTGAGGTGGCTTGTAACTCGCTCCTATCATATGTTAGGTGATATTTCAGGACTAGTCTGAATCCTCCTCTAGTTTAAAAATAAAATGAAATACCTAAATATGCATTCTGAATGGATGCTAGGTAGTTGAAAACAGTCAGCAGGAATTCTCGGGCCTGAGTCTCGCTCTCATTAGCAATGAGGCGTATCACCAACTTTGCAAGGATTGATCCCCATATAGCTTAATGTCCTATATTACAAGTTAGGTGGGTTGGTAGGACTCAGTCAGAGCTAAGGACAAATGATACTGACCACTACGTAGTGACTCAGGAAATCTGATTAGTCCTAACGGGTCAGTTTTTGATGAAAAGGTGTATCGCATCTGACAACCTGAATGTTTAACAAATGTGTGTAGCGTAGAACATCTCACAAGATGGCAGTATCTTAAGATGCCACCCTTCACGATCACATATTAAGGAAAAAGAAATGCAGGAAATTTATGGGTAGAGAATAACTACATGACGAACAAAGAGGATTTAATGGAATATCGAAAGTAATGGTCACATCTCCCCGACAGACATTGATTTTAGTCGTATTACTAACAGTGTCGAAGCATAAAAGACTTCTAACATCTCGAAAACCACAGCCACGCGGTCTACACATCTTCACATGGCTCAAACTAACAGTCAGAGACTTAACGCGTTAGCATCACAGTTTGGTCTGACTATCCAACGCTTTTCCAACTCAGACTACATCGACTGAGGTGGCTAGGACGTGTTACGCATATCTTAGCACCGACTTATGATGCAGTTCTTTTTAAATACTCATATATACGATTATGAAGCATGGTAATGAATTCTTTAAAATGTATCTTCGCTGGTTCACTTGTTTTCATTTCCTACATGTACTACTGGAAATTCTCCATAAATATTGGTTTAATCGCACAATCACTAGAGTTGTATTATAACCAATGAAGTAATTTATCAAGCCTAATTACTGATTTGCACAATGAACTTACACGATCTATTTCAATTTCATCAGAAAGATCGTTCGGATTCACGAAAAATTGTAGATCTTCAAAGTCACGTGAATCAATGTTGACTGAATTCAGCTTCCTGTCATTCTCTTGTATTTTTTTCAGATCTTATTATACATTATTATATACATTACAAAATTGCACTTACTTTTATGAACAGATGTATAACGATTGTCGAATTCATCTAGAAGATTTTTAAAGTCATTCACTAGATAATCGGAGGTAGATGGGATTATATCGACTACGAAGTAAATACAAGTAGACGAGCCTACTTGGTTCCGGGAATTCGTCTTCGATAGCATTGTAGAAATCCGTTATAAGGTGCGCAAATACATTGAGATGAAAAGTTTCTACGATCTAACAGTGCATAACTACACTCCAAAGATAAATCTTACCTCAGGCTCAAAAGATTCCTGTAGTGTGGAGCAAAAATCTACGAGAACGAAAACAATAGGTACATCAAACATTTTTTTTAAACTCGACTGCCGTTGTCATTCTTACCGAGAACTTAGTACATTTGAAATAAAATGTTGCTGAATTTCTCGAACAAATACACAGCTAGTTCTTACACTTTTCTAATAATTTCTGTACTAAGAAGCGCATAGGATCATGATGTGGCAGCTAAAAATAAATGACGGACGCAATATGGCTTAATTGAGTTTCAGAATAGATATTTCAGAGTTTAGACTTAATTTTAACGATCAGACTTAGTGTTGATTGGTTTTTAGGATATGAAAAACCTACAGAATATCAGTCAACTTGTTTTCTATTGCAGATATGAAACAATAGTCACTCACAGACAAGCAAAACACGAGAACACTGGGATTATACATGTATTATCATTGTTCCTTTGGGTTCTGAGTGGAATGTAAGGCTTTAACAGCATATTTTCACTTTGTCCTATTGTGCGGTCCTCTTTAGCTGGCCCTACGATCGCCTATCATCTCTCATCTCCACGTCACCCTCGGACGCGATAGGTTCTTGATGGTTTGTACCAAAGTTTCTTGTTGATTATTCCTTCTGGCCATCTGGCTTGCGACATGCAGAGAGAGCGGCCGTTGGTAAAATTATGCAACCTGTCTAAGAGGCTTTTCGTGACCCCCTCAATTTCCTGACCCATATAAAAGAACTGGGTGGCTTGACATTGGTGGTGTAAATGCGAATTTTGTCATTTATGCTGGGCGTAGGTCTGTCTTGCCTTTCCGATTCTGGTTTTGAAATTCCCATCTGTCCTGCCTGTAGCTGAAATGATGCTACCCAAATAAGTGGAGAAAGTTACCTCAATCAAATTTCTTCCGTTGATAGTGATTGGCGATTGTTGTTGGTTGGTTGGTTACCTTCATCACATCTGTCTTCTCTATGTTCACCTGAAGTCCTGTCTTTGTTGCCTGCTTCTTCTGTCAGTTTGTTGGTTTTCGCCTGCAATTCTCTGAGTTTTTTTGACATTAAACATAAATCATCCATGCGCGAGGTCCAGAACTGCTACAGTCTTCTTATCAGTCCAATGTATTCCAGGCTTCTCACTCACTGGGCACAGTATGACGCATAATCCAGCCCACCACAGTTAGGAAGTAGGCAGCATCATCCTACTCTGATCTTCACTTCAAAGGCTTCTTTGAGCTTCCTGTTGTAGATCATCCGACATGAGCCACTTTTTAATATAGATGTTGAATGAAGTTGATAAGGATTTAAAGCACACTATGATGTTGCAGAATTTTCCAAATTACTTTGCGATCAACGCTGTTGAAGGCCTTTTCAAATTCGATGAAGTTGAGACAGAGGTTTAACTGTCATTCTATGCTTTGTTCGATAAAAATGCATAGTTTCAATTTCATCAACACATGGTTTGGGATTACGTGAAAGACAATTAATCGGAGGCTCAGCTACACCAAAGGTGTTACTTTCAGACTGGAAGAGCAACAAAACTTTTAGTCTAATTTAGCTGGTTTCATGTGGAAGCAGATTCCCACAACTCGGCTGGTTGTGACTCCGATTTGGTGAATGCATATTAGGGGACAATTATTATGCACACAATTAAACTACCTTAGTGTTCAAAAGTTAAATATTACAAAACCAGTAATATTTCCTAATATGTACATTAGTACATATAGAAATCCTGGTTCATATTACTATCCCTAGTCTAGGAATTTTTCGTAAACATAGCTGGGATGGGTATAAACACAGGCCACATTACACTAAAAACTGGGTACTCTCAGTCTGTTTTCGACATAGAACTTTGCACAAATGTGCACCAGTTAAAGTCGCAACACTCCCTCCATGTAGCACACAAAGCAACAGAAGAAAGTAAAAGAGATGCATAATAGAGACAGTAAACAGAGGTGTGAGACAAAGGAATAGTAGTAACGAAGATCAAAACAGTTTCATTGGAAATCATAAGTTACAAGGAGTGGATGCATATGTGTTGGCCATTGAGAACGATTTTGAGCCATGTCACCAATTGTTTCCAACCATAGATTTTTACCGTCCCGAGGACCCCAACTAGGAAGTCTTTACCTTCCTACGTGGCTTAGACTAACTGTTGTGGATTTCATTGACTGGTGAAACCATGTTTTGGTTTGACCTCCGCTAGCTGTTTTCCAGCCTGACCCTATATCAGCTAACATTGCCCGTTGAGGAAGGCGATGACTAGGCATACGTAACACATTTCCTAACCATCTCAGTCTATGTAACTTCACAACCACGTCGATTGATTTCCCCTGCTTACCTAGAACTCGACGCCTAACCTCAATATTACTCATCTTATTATGCCACTTCACATGGGAGATAGAACGCAGGCACCTATGATCAAAGACAGCTAAGCTTTTCATATCTTCCACTCTGAGTGGCCAGGTCTCACAGCCATAAAGGAGGACGGAGCGGACTGATGAGGAGTATATCCGCCCCTTGGTCGATAGTCGGATATCTCGTCTACGCCAGAGACTGGCTACGGTGGGATTCTAAGCCAAAGACGTGAGTTGACACACTAGTATGTAGATTAACTAAGGTACTAGGCAACGTCTGGGAATCAGAGACGGTTCCATCAGACTGGGGTAAGTTACTTATTATACCGATATTCAAGAAGAGAAACAAGTCCTCATGTGATAATCATACGGGGATCAGCCTAATGGACATCGTTTCTAAAATCCTAGGCTCAGTAATCATGCACAGACTAAGCAAAACTCGGGAGGAACAAACGAGGGAAAATCAAGCAAGCTTTAGACCAGGTAGAGGGTGCATAGATCATATCTTCACTCTTCGACAGATTCTACAACATAGACACACTTTTCGGCGTCCAACAATTGCCATACTTCTTGACTTGAAGGCGGCCTTCGACTCTGTGGATCGAAAGGTACTATGGCAATGTTTGACTGTGAAGGGAGTGTCAAGAAAGCACATTGCACTAATCAAGGCATTCTATTTAAACTCACGTAGCCGTGTAAGGGCTTATGGGGAATTGCCATCTAAATTGACAACAACCAGTGGTGTTCGACAGGGATGTCCACTTTCCCCACTTCTGTTTAACTTCATCATAGATACGCTAATGGAAGTATCCTTAACTGAACTTAACGACTTAAGAATCGACTTGTTACCAGGGAATAGTCTTATGGACTTAGAATATGCAGATGACATAGTTCTGTTAAGGGAGGATGCTGACAAAATGCAGAGTCTTCTGAACACCTTGAGCAACAATCTTCGTATGTTTGGTATGCGATTCGCCCCTGTAAAATGTAACATGCTGCTACAGGACTGGACTACGTCAACTCCTAGCTTAGTGATAGGGAGTGAAGTGATAGAACATGTTGACCACTTCACCCGACCGAAAGCTGCTACCTTGACGTGGTGGTCGGGCTTGAACACCGCAATGACCTAATCAAGCTATACTGGCTGAGACTTATGTCTCTTGAGGTCCTACCATGCCAGGCAGGTTGTTTGGATAGCGGTTAAACAAAAAGCAGCTACCCAATCCAACATCATGTCCAATACAAAATCACAAAATTTCATGCCGGATCGGCCGTGGCCCGGATTAACAACGACCGCGCTTCCTGCTGCCGTGTCACAGGGCAGGAGTGATAAATATGCTACTGAGGCACACCAAACAAAAAGAACGAACAAAAACAGGCCGCGTGTGACCGGCCTCAAGCAGTTGTCCCCTGGGCTCTGCGGTCACGCAACCAACTTCCACGGTGTGGGCAGCCGGGAAGTAACAATCGCCCTCACAATCCGAAATGCACACGAAACCTCTCTATTACTCACTCATCTTCATCTCTATCATCTTGCCTTCCTTCCACTGATGCAACTCCTCGACTTGATAGCTCTCCACTTCCTCTCCACTCTGCGTCCACTAAAAACGATGGAAGCCAAAAAACCACCACCGACAGCCTCTTAAAGCCGCGCCACCAATTTCATATAGGAGCTCTTAATGTTAGGACACTTTGCCAAATAGGACAACAAGCATCACTAGCCAAGACCCTGGCATCACGAGCCATTGATGTATGCTGTGTTTCAGAAACACGCATACAAGACCCAAGTGTGGTTATTCACCTAACCCCACCTGGCCAACAGGTTGAATCTGCAAAATTCACCTTGAGGGTGTCAGGAGATGCCACAGCTAGTTCACGAGGATTAGCTGGCGTAGGGATAGCTTTGAGTACTAGGGCAGAAAAGACATTGCTTGACTGGATCCCGGTAGATAGCCGAATGTGTGCTGTCCGCCTGAACGGATCAGTAAGAAGGAGGAAGGACTGCACTACTCGCCGATGCCTTTTCGTAATCTCCGCCTACGCCCCCACTGACTGCAGTTCAGATGAAACGAAGGATGAGTTCTACCAAAAGCTGTCTAGTTTGGTGCGAAAGGCTAAACGCTCAGACATAGTCGTTCTAGCTGGTGACTTTAACGCTCAAGTAGGGAAATTGTGTCAATCTGAGAAGGATGTCGGTGGCACCTATGGAGTTCCGTGCCAGCGAACCGACAACGGTGACCGTCTCCTACAGTTCTGCTCTGATAATCATTTGTTTCTTGTAAGCACTAACTTTAAACACAAGGAGAGACACTGTTTGACTTGGAGACCCCCTTCATCAAACCAACGCTGGACACAAATAGACCACATAGCAATAAGCTATCGTTGGCGTGGGTCGGTAGGAGATTGTCGCTCCTTCTGGAACACGTGCGTAGATACCGACCATGCACTGGTCCGCGCTCGGGTGTGCTTACGACTGAACGGACGTAGGAAACAGCTGGCGGTAAAACCATCACGTCCCCAGCTCGATCAGGAAACTAAATCCGTATTTCAGGAAGAACTAGCTAAACACATATCTGTGTTCGACAGCTGTGCTCACCCTGAAGAAGCTTGGAAAAATATCCAGGCAGCCATAGATACAGCTGTAAAAGCTGTGAATAAGGTAAACCCAAAGGTGAGTAAAAACCACTGGATCTCCACCGCCTCATCCGAACTGATAGATGCTAGAAGACTTATTCCGGCGAGCTCCGAATTCAATGAGGAGCGAAAGCTGCACAAGAGGAAACTTACGAAAAGTCTCCGCAAGGACCGTGAACAGTGGTGGGCGACAAAAGCCAAAGAGATGGAGAAAGCTTCGAGGATAGGCAACACCAGGCAACTCTTTGGACTCATCAGGGAAACGGGTGGGAGAAGACAAATCATTAGTGAGACAATCTCGGAAAAAAATGGCACTATAATTAGCTCCCAGGATAGACGACTGGATCGTTGGAAAGAGCATTATGAGGAGCAGTTTAATTTGCCCACAGCCACGCTCAACCTTCCGAGCATCCAACACCTCCCTGAATGGGATATAGACACAGGTCCTCCGTCACTAACTGAGGTTACTAAAGCTGTCACCAATCTGAAACTAGGCAAAGCAGCGGGACCTGATGGAATGACTCCAGAGGTATTTAAGTACGGTGGAGACAGCTTACTGTCCGGATTAACTGAGGTACTAGGCAGCGTCTGGGAATCAGAAGAAGTCCCATCGGGTTGGTGTAAGTCACTGATTATCCCCATATACAAGAAGGGAGACAAGTCTTCCTGTGATAATCACAGAGGGATTAGCTTGACTAATATAGTATCTAAAGTCTTAGGCTCAATAATCATGCGTAGACTGAGTGGTGCTCGGGAAGCACAAACACGAGAGAGCCAGGCAGGCTTTAGACCAGGAAGAGGGTGTATTGATCATATCTTCACCCTCCGACAGATTCTAGAACATAGGCATTCCTACCGGCGTCCAACAGTCATTATATTTCTTGACCTAAAGGCAGCATTCGACTCTGTCGATCGGGAAGTTCTCTGGAGATGCTTGGCTGTAAAGGGAATTCCAAGAAAATATATTGCACTGATTAAGGCACTCTACTCGTACTCATACAGCCAGGTGAGGGCTTACGGCGAGCTGTCATCTGAACTGATGACGACCAGTGGTGTCCGTCAAGGATGCCCATTATCTCCTTTTCTATTCAACTTCATCATAGATGTGTTAATGGACTTAACCCTAGGTGACTTCAGCGACTCAGGGATTGACTTGCTACCGGGGAATAATCTCGTTGACTTGGAATATGCAGACGATATAGTCCTTCTAGGCGAAGACGCTGACGAAATGCAGAGTCTTCTAAACACCTTGAGCGCAATCTACGAATGTTTGGCATGCGATTCGCTCCCGCCAAATGCAAGATGATGTTACAGGACTGGACTACATCGACGCCTAGTTTAAAAATAGGAAGTGAAGTGGTAGAGCACGTTGACCGCTTCACTTATTTGGGAAGTACCATCAGCCCCAACGGGCTGATCTCTGACGAAATCTCAGCACGAATACAAGGGGCTCGTTTCGCATTTGTTAGTTTACGCCGACTCTGGCGTAGACGAGATGTTCGACTATCGACCAAAGGGCGGGTGTACTGCTCATCAGTCCGCTCCGTCCTCCTTTATGGTTGTGAGACCTGGCCACTGAGAGTGGAAGACATGAAAAGACTAGCTGTCTTTGATCATAGGTGCCTGCGTTCTATTTCCCGTGTAAAGTGGCATAATAAGGTGAGCAACATTGAGGTTAGGCGTAGAGTTCTAGGTAAACAGGGGAAATCAATCGACGAAGTCGTGAAGCTACAAAGACTGAGATGGTTAGGACATGTGTTACGTATGCCAAGTCATCGCCTCCCTCGACGAGCAATGTTAGCGGATATAGGGTCAGGCTGGAAAAAAGCTAGCGGCGGTCAAACAAAAACTTGGCACCAGTCAATGAAATCCACAACAGTTGGTCTAAGCCACGTAGGAAGGTGTAGACTTCCAGGCTGGGGTCCTCGGGACGGTAAAAATCTATGGTTGGAAACAATTGGTGACATGGCTCAAAATCGTTCTCAGTGGCGCAGATGCATCCACTCCTTGTGACTTATGATCTCCAATGAAACTGTTTTGTTTTTCTTTATTACTCCTTTGTCTCACACCTCTGCTCACTGTTTCTATTATGCTTTTCTTGTACTTTCTTCTCTTGCTTCGCGTGCTACACGAAGTGTGGCGACTTTAACTGGTGCACATTTGTGCAAAGTTCTATGTCGAAAAAAGACAGACAGACAGACTATTTGGGAAGTTGTATCAGCACCAACGGACTGATTGGCGACGAAATCTCAGCACGGAACCGAAAAGCTCGAGCTGCTTTCGCTGACTTACACCATCTCTGGCGTAGGCGTGACATCCGGCTATCAACCAAGGGGGACGTGTGTACTGCTCAGCAGTTCGCTCCGTCCTTCTCTATGGCTCTGAAACATGGCGAATACGAGTTGAAGACATGAAAGGGTTGACTGCTTTTTATCATGGATGTCTGCGATCTCTTTCTCACGTTGGGTTGTTTAATAAGCTAAGTAATGTTGACGTTAGGCATAGTGTTGGGCAAAGAGGGAAAATCAATCGACGAGGCTATAAAGTTACATAGATTGAGATGGCTAGGTCACGTGCTGCGCATGACTAACCATCGCCTCCCCCGACGGCCATTACTAGCTGATATAGGTGCAGGTTGGAAAAGATTAAGTGGTGGTCAAACAAAAACATGGCCTCATCAATCCATGAAATCCTTGACAGTTAAACTGAGTCAGGTAGGGAGATTCAGACTTTCGGGTTGGGGCCCTCGGGACTCAAGGAATCAATGGCTGGAGACAATAGGTGACACATGGCTAAAAATCGTTGTCAATGGCCAGAGCAGATGTATTCAGTCTCTGTAATCTTTCATATTTCTTCCTACCATTACCCATTCTGTTTCACTCTTATAGCTGTCAAACTCTATTGATTCTCTTCACTCATCTTCCTGTCTACCTTTGTGTACTATTTGAAACGTGGCAACTCGAACTTCTGCACTTCGGTGCCAAGTTCTATGTTGAATCCAGACAGACAGAAAGACGTGAGTAGAATACGAAAAGTGGGTATTAAAAGTTGCATTCTACCCACCTTTCCCCCACGCCTCAAGCGATCAAAATTGCCCGCCTTGCCCATGTTTTCCCCCATTTCATCCATATGCATTCTCCGACTGGGTCATCCTCCATATATAAAGTTAAAGCAGTAGTAAAAAAACGAGTACCTAGTCACTACGGCACCTCGGTATGGGCTGCGTATCCCAGAAGGTTCTCTTGACTAAGAAAAACAATCGATTGAATATATTGTAAGGATTTCGAAGCAACAGAGACCTGTAGCTTGGGTAGATGATTGTGACTTGCTTTTGTTTCCTGGACTAGTTGATTGAACTGAGAAACTTCAGTTGTCTATTTCGACATTTTCAGCCCACGCGCAAGTGAATTGTCTGAATACCCCGTGAATGCTCCCTATCCTTAACACTTATACACCAGAAGTGTGAGATAACTTTTAGATGTCCGGTACTCGGATGAGTAATCGGCTAACAAACACATGTCAGATTAACCAACTAATGAAAAGTAAATCACGGCGAAAAAGATAGAATTCCAAGTCAATAAAATGATCAATAAATATGTTAATTGACAACCAATCACAGCAGGCGTCGTGAGATACAATCATATCGTTTATGGAGAATTGAAACGAGCTTGCACCGAAGATGTCCAGAGGAGCAATGAAATCCCCAGCCAGCAATAACTTTAGGCGCATTGCAGAATGTTTGAGGCAGACCTCAGTGCACTCCAGAATCTCTGAGGCGAATTGCAGATCCATGTCCCACGGTTTCCAATGCACCCGAAGAAAATGCTAACTGGGATAGACAGCTCAGAGAATAGAATTTTATTGGTAAACCAACTAGCTAAATTATAAATTATTTAAATTAATCCCAGCGTGTTAAGAAAATCAAAACAAGATTTTTCTGAGCGTTTCGCCGTGTAAGCCACAGCTTCTTCATCAGATTTATTCGGATTATAATTAATCATCAAAATATACAGTCAAAATTTTTTACATAAAATGAAGTCAGTTTACTTGAAGGTCATTTGTCCATGGACATTTTTTACCGATAGAAGTATGTAAGCAGTCCTCACATATATAGAAGGGTAAACACAACAACAATCTGACATTAGTCATTACATTTATATGTGAGCACTGCTTACATACTTCTATTGGTAAAAATCTGTTCATGGACAAATGACCTTCAAATAAACTGACTTCATTTTATGTGAAAAATTTTGACTATATATTTTGATGAGTAATTATAATCCGAATAAATCTGCTGAAGAGGCTGTGGCTTACTCGGCGAAACGTTCCAAAAAATCTTGTTTTGATTTTCTTAACACGCTGGGATTAGTTTAAATAATTTATAATGAATCAATCTGACTCGGCGCTCAAATGATTCCAGGAAATTCATAACACCTACGGTGTGGAAAGCTACAACTAGCTAAATATTGCAATATTATCAAACAATGTTGATGAACAGTAAGTATCGAATAAAAATCAATGGGAATGAACAAGATTAGAGACAAACCATCTGTCGACATTGCTCTTTGCGAAAATTACACGTCCCGCGGGATGTTATGGTCAAGGCAACTGCCTCAAATTCTAAGTTCAGCTTTTAGTAATTTAAACAATAGGCTCACAAACTACATCTAAACAGCATACGATTAGCCGAGTTAAACTTTAAGTACCAGTGGAATGAGACCACATCAGTGACTTCAGAGTGGTCAGTTACTGAAACCAGGTAAAGAATATTTTATGCATGAATAAAATGTGCTTAATGAAATGTTATTTTATCAAATGACATACCTAGCAATTTTCTGGTTAGGTTTGGGGAATATGAAGTTAGGGGTTAAGCTAAGTACAGGTTGGGGTTAAGTTAACCTAGTGACGTTACGGTTGGTTTAGCAATATATCCATGTTAGGGTTAGGTTAAGGGAAAATCAGTGTTATTGTCAGGGTTACAAGATTTAGATAATTATATCCATATAGTGTAGTTAAATTACTTTGTTGATACTCCAATCCAAAACTGAGAGGGATTTTTGTCAGACGTCAGCTTATAGTGTAGTACCCCTATACCAACTGTAAACATGCTTTTTAATCTAATTTGTATACTTGTATTATATGTGTATACAGACCCATTTTATATGTACTTCACAAATATTTGTCAATTTACTGTTGAACATTACCTTGACACATATTTCGAATTTGACTACTACTGTAATACACATTCGTAATCTTCGCAAGCGCCTTTTGATTTACGTTGTGGGCGTCGAGTAGCCACAACGTCTGCGCACATTAATAAGAACGAAGAAATACATAGAATATATGTGTACAACAGTTTAGTCAGACAACACACGCAACAAAATTGGTGAGCCCGACGTGATATTTCGACAGCAACGACAAACTTGTGTCCTTGACGATAACTGGTTCACCCTGACGACAAACTGTTAACCCCAACGACAAATTTCTACCCCGTCGACAAATTGTCCATCGCGACGACAACTTTTTCACCTCGACGATAACTTGTTCACTGTGACGATAACTTGTTGACTCCAACGACATTTTGTTCACCCGGACGAATCATTACACTTACTGGATTATTTAAACTCTAACTTTATCGGATTTATATACACATAATAAACATTTCGAGCTCATTCTTGTGCTTTCTCATCGCAAAACTTGCAGTAATCTGTGGTAAGCACCTGCATTGCATGTTTTTCTGTTTTACCATATTCTTGATGTGCATAATTTTTGCTATTTTGTTACTGTTAAACCATTTTTCTACGAATTGTTTCATGTCTTCCAATACCTCTTATAACTTAGAGCTGGGATCTGTTAGTACCATTTCTCTTACTGTACCAGTTTTTAGGCCCAGAGACCCTCATCTTTGGTTTGCACGACTGGAAAATTATTTCACTGCCAATAAGCTCACGTCACAGACGGCTAAATTCGGCATATTGAGTACAGTACTACCAGACGAAATCGCCGAACAGGTTCGACAACACATAGTTTAGCCCAGCACAGACTCTCCTTACGACAAGTTGAAAGAAGAAGTACTTCGATGCACTTCACTTTCTGATAGGCAAGCACTCGATCGTTTGTTAAGCAATGTAGAGCTAGGTGATAAAACCCATCGCAACTCATGAGGCATATGCAAAGCCTAGTAGCAGGAAGAGATATCGACAAACGTCTCTTTTACCAAATTTGGTTGCGACGACTTCCTGCAAACATTCAACAAGTTCTTGCTTACGGAGACGACGACATTGATATGGAAAAGCTCGCCAAAATCGCGGATCACATGTACGAGAGGTCAACACCTCAATCTGTTGCTTCCACTAGCACAATACCAGACACTGACGACAGGATACAGGCTCTGGAACACAAAGTCGACACCTTACTGAGTCAGTTAGCAGCACTGACCACACACACACACGACCAAGCCGTTCTAGAAGCCCGTCTTGTCGACGTCTTTCTCGATCACCCAGCACGTCACGACATCACAATACTATTTGCTGGTACCACCGTAGTTACGGAGACAATGCACGACGGTGTCGTTCACCTTGCAACTTTCAGACTAAACCAAAAGTTATATCGTCATGTATGAAAAATTCTACTGTTGGCAATCTACGATCTGGCAGTCGTTTGTTTTATGTAACAGATAGAAATACCGGTACTACATTTTTAGTTGACACAGGAGCAGAGGTTAGTGTTCTCCCTCCGTCTACGCAGGAACGTCAACATCCTGACCCTGCAGTTACGCTCCAAGCCGTTAATAAGTCTAATATTGTTACATATGGTAGTAAACGAATGACTTTAGATTTTGGTCTGCAGAATACCTACAATTGGTCTTTCATCATCGCAGACGTTCCATCCCCAATCCTTGGTATAGATTTTCTAAAGCAACACAAACTGCTAGTTGATCCGGTTAGCCCTAAACTTATAGACTCGCTCAATAAAAGGTACATCGCTGGTACGATTAGCCGTGCATCATTGCTGAACTTGATGGTCACACGCACACCAGCATCTCCATATACTGACTTAGTAAATCAGTTCCCTGACCTTCTACAACCCTCTTTCCGAGCAACAGAACTAAAGCATCAAGTGGTCCATCACATTAAAACCATTGGACCACCAGTTTTTGCACGTCCTCGACGCCTTGACCCACACCGACTTAAAACCGCAAAAACAGAGTTCGATAAAATGTTAGAGCTCGGCATTATTCGACCATCTAACAGCTCTTGGTCTTCACCGCTGCACATGGTACCCAAAAAGTCTTCTGGTGAGATACGGCCATGTGGGGACTATCGAGCTTTAAACAAGCAAACGGTACCTGACCGATACTCCATACCGCATATTCACGATTTCGCCAGCAACTTGCCAGAGGTGAAAATTTTCTCCAAAATCGACCTTGTAAGAGCGTACCATCATATTCCCACCCACCCGGATGACGTTCCAAAAACTGCTATGACCACGCTATTTGGCTTATACGAATTCGTACGCATGCCTTTCGGGCTGATGAACGCCGCTCAGATATTTCAACATCTCATCGACCAAGTACTCCGCGGCCTGCCCTTCATCTACGCATACATTGACGACTTACTAATTGCAAGTGCAGACAAAACCGAGCATGTGAAACATGTGAAGACGGTGTTCGAAAGACTTCACAAATACGGCATGACTATCAATTTAGATAAATGCGAATTTGGCAAGAAATCACCAAAATTCCTCGGTCACTTGAATGACAATCAAGGTATCAGACCAGTTCCCGACGATGTACAAGCCATCAAAGACTATCCATTACCAGATTCTTTCAAGAAATTACGGCGATTTTTGGGTCTAGTCTCTCATGACAGATGCTTCAGATGTCATCATCGGGGCAGTGTTACTACAGCAGGTACATGGCGAATGGAAACCCCTTGCATTCTTTTCGAAACGACTGAATCCTACTCAATGTCGATATAGCACCTTTGGTAGAGAGTTATTAGCTGTTTATTCAGCAATCAAGCACTTTCGACATATGCTGGAAGGTACACCTTTTACTGTCTTTACAGACCACAAGGCTCTAACGAAAGCCTTATAAGCAAAACAGGATAACTACTCTCCACGTGAACTACAAAATCTCGAGTTTATATCCCAGTTCACCGCCGATCTGCGACACATAAAGGGTAAAAAGAATGAAGTGGCAGACGCTTTATCACGTATGCACATTGATAACATTGTATGCCCAGACATCAACTATGAACATCTCTCAAGCTTACAACGAGATGATGCCGAACTCAAAAAGATCATGTCTTCTAAAACAACATCTCTAAACCTCGAGGCAACTCCTTTTGGCTTGGCAAAAGTTATCTGCGACACCTCTACGGGTAAATATCGACCTTTCGTTCCAATAGCTATGAGACATACAGTATTCGAGAAGTTACATGACTTGTCGCATCCTGGTGTGAGCGCTACTACCAAGCTACTAAGAGAAAGATATATCTGGCCAGCCATTAACAGCGACGTTAAGAAGTGGACACGAAATTGCTTGTCTTGTCAAAGAGTCAAAATCAACCGGCACACCAAAGCACCACTTGGTCGCTTCCCCAACCCCGACGCTAGATTTGACCATGTACATGTAGACATAGTTGGTCCACTGCCTCCTTCCAATGGTTTCAACTATATTCTAACCTGCATTGACAGATTTACTCGTTGGCCAGTAGCAGTTCCATTAATCGACGTCTCAGCTGAAACGGTAGCTAAAGCTTTAGTCGAAAACTGGATAACCAACTTTGGTGTCCCATCAATTATCACTACAGACAGAGGTGCCCAGTTTGAAAGCCGACTTTTTGACCAGCTAACTGAATTACTAGGCATTAAACGAATACGAACAACAGCGTATCATCCTAGTTCCAACGGTATGGTCGAACGATTTCATCGACAACTCAAAGCTGCACTCGCTGCTTCTTTGGCTCAAAACGATTGGTCAACCAAACTTCCACTAGTATTACTTGGTATACGAGCTACTATAAAGAAAGATATTGGCTGCTGTGTTTCCGAACTAGTCTATGGAACAACATTACTATTACCAGGAGAACTTTTCACCCCGGGTAACGAAGTTCCACGCGATATGACTGGTTACGTGCACCAGCTAAAACGACACATGAACGAGCTAAAGATATCACTTCCACGTCAGCAAGAACGAGCGTCACACATCCCGTCACAACTGACAGATTGTACTAAGGCCTTCGTCAGGAGAGAAGGTGTACAGCGACCACTTCAACCCACTTATGATGGCCCATTCAAAGTTCTAAACAGAAACGCGAAAGTTATCATGATAGAAAGATTGAATAAAACAGAAGTCATCAGTATTGACAGAGTCAAACCAGCGTTCCTCGACGATTTCGAAGTCAACGATAAGAACCAGCTGAACGACGTGCCGACACCTACATCCACACAAGCTTCAACGTCGACAGAGAAGCCTGCGAAACCAACACGATCTGGTAGACGAGTCCATTGGCCTAAACGTTACGTGCAATTCATCGAAATATAACTTACTACG